AAAATTAAATTATTGATTGTTTTAAGCCCTTCAATGACTGTGAAATTTCAATTTAGATATAGTATAATGTCAAATGTGTTATTATAATAGAGACGACCTAATCTATTTATATTTTAAACCTCTTTAACACACAGCAAAGAAAACAAAATAGTTTCAAATATTCATTTGACACACACATAATAAATCTATTTGTAAAGCTCGAGAACAATAGAACACATTTATCGAGTTAATGAGGTGTGTCCCAAATACATTAGCAATATCACAAAAAACAATTTACTATTTGTATTTCATGAACCAATAACATTTCTATTACAATAAATACAGACAGAGTAACTTTTAAATAGATTATACGCTAATCTTTGGGTAGTTTAAAGAATTTATTTCAATATTGCAATATTTTGCTGGGATAATATTGAAATAAGAAGGTAAACAAAATCACAACAAAACAGATGCATTACAATCAATAAATTTTACTCTTTTATTGATAAATAATGATTTATTTCAAACCTATTGGGCTTTTTATATACTTTTTATTCAGTTGCAGAAAAAAGCTCAGATCATTTGACTACTTTTTCGGATTAACTAATTCCAATAAGATATGAATATGTAAAAAATATTTGCCAACATGACCCTATTTTCTTTGACATTAAGTTTTCTAATCCTTTCACTTTATCCATTGAATGTTTACTGTTCCTATAGAATATTAGTATGCAACACATACCTATGACATTATAACACAATATATTAATGAATGTAAGTAGAGAAATAAGAACAGACCTGCCTTACTTGCTTTCCTGTACATTGTTGATTGTTATTAATTCTATAGAAGTACCACAAATTAAATAATCTTTTGAAAATGCACTTGCCACTGCCAAATGTTATATTATTTTGTATTCCATGGAATATGTATTTTATTAGTTGAATGTCCATGCTACTAAGGTAATTTCGATCTCAGTAATCTAATCTGAGCTTCAAAAAGATGAATAGTGTGACATTTATCAGTTCTTGATAAGGTTTTGTTTCTGGTTGGTATTTTCATAACAAGGGATTCTTTATTTTACTAGTACACAAACCAAATAGAATTTGTCAGTTAAAAATTTAGTGTCTATTTCATTTACACATTGCCAGCATGAGAAATATCACCCTAAGTAAATTAATTTTGCAGGTCCTATGAAAATCCTTTAGGCTCAATTATTATTAAATTGTGATTATTTTATGAATGCATATAAGTAAGTAATAACAATAAGAAATATTTAAGTAAATTATTACCAAAACATTCTATCACTACTTGTTATTTGAGTCATCTCTTATTATTAAAATTGGTGAGAGTTAGACTTTGGATACTAGATTATTTAAAAATACGATACTTTCACACAGAGATTACAGTCTGCTTGTGTGCGTAATTTATGCTCCTGCAAGGGGAAAGCCTGATGTGTTGCTTAGTGAAAATTATTGGTGCATCTCTGACATAGCTAGCGCATACCACTAAGTGAAAACTTTGACAACCTCAATTTATTTATAAGTATTAATCACCATACAGTTTCGCCGCAATGATTCAAATTTCGAAACAGCCATTTTAGTACAACAATCCCAAAACAACTAGACCACCTACACATTTTAGGATTACCATAAAAGTCTTCAACGAAAAATGCTGGTGTAGTTCATAGTAAAAAAATATCACTTTCTAACTGGTCAACAAATCAAAACACCAGTTTTTTTACAGTTATAGAATCATACGTTAATTAAAACTAATAAAAATAACAACGTAGACAAAACATTTTTACCTCGATATTTATAAAGTGATGACTGATACCACTTGAACAAATATTTCACGAATTTAATATTCTACATTTGTAACTACAATTAACGGAACAATAATGAGAAATTTATTCAATTTATTCCACATTTTTTAACGGGAGAGAGAGTACATCACGGATTAGTGGTTTAAAGATTTGTCTATGATTGCACTCAGTGACGTCTCGGTCTCGCTATCAAAATCGACAGCCCGGCCATAGAGTAAGAGTTAAATCTTGAAAAGTTCACATTTTGAATGATGTTGAAATATGAAATATAAACAAAACAAACAAGGACGTTGAAAAAAAAAGAAAATGCTTCCTGGATTTCATTTCCCAATGTAAATTTATGTAATCTTAGATGTCTTTGAGGATCGTTAAGGTCACAATAAGTAATTTTTGTAATCCAGGCCATCTAAATAAATGACACATTATTATACCATTAAATCATAAATATTCCAAATAATACAAAGAAGTTGTGAAACTTAATTTTTACTTTAAAAAAAGAGATATTGTTAGGTACTATGATATTATTACTTGGCTGTTGAGGCTACGAAATGTTGGGTACTTTTTAAAAATGTGTACTGGCCGATAGCAGATTTCCATTTTGGTCTACATTATCTGTGCTGTCAGCTACAGGCAGTGGCGCCCTCGTGCTGTCATTGCAGCGGCAAAGTAACATCTATCATTGAAGGGACGGATTGTTGGTTTTTTATTAAAATTATATATTTTTACTGCAGAAAATGGATGAAGAAGGCGATAATCTTTTGCTTGAAGATAATTACTATCAATTACTGAATGTTTCAAAGACGGTAAATATAAATCACATGCATTTTTACCATTCTTTTCTACATTTCTACATTATCAATATTATATAACGACACAAATCAATCATTATGTCGTTGAATATATAATCTAAATTACTCTAAAGATAGAATCTTATACTATTTTACCCTAGACATTTTTGGATGTGATCCTTATAGGTATTATTTTGAGGTTAGGATCAGTGCACCCTGGTCTCAAGACGTGCTCCTTATCGTATTAGTTTCTGATTAATTGTAATGTTTATTCTACTTAATTGTTTAATAAAACTATTAGTTCAGAAATCTCGAGGCAATCATTTTATTTTCCTATGTAACAACAGTTTGAGATGATGCAATATTTTGTCTGTTCATTAGTTGCATGTAGCATTTATTTGACTAAAAGCATGTGCTATCTTTAGTTACTAAAGAGATATGAATATACCGTTTGCTTAGTAAACTCAAAATGTGTCTAATATCTGATTTATTAGAGTTTCTATTCTCTGCTGTTGAAAGTATCTTACAGTACCTACATGTTGTTTATTTAACTATTTCATTATTTACCTCGCATAATGCATCAAAAACAATAACATTATTATTTGTTTGAAACCTCTATTCTAAGAAAATTTCCTTCACTCTATTGTTATCTAGCCATGGTGTGTAAATATTGAATGTCTGTTATACACTGCCATTGTTTTCCTATAAGAAAACTGAAGGGAATTGTTACAAGTATTTTTTTTTATTTTGAACTTGTTTGAGTTCATTATTACCTTATAAGATAATTAGGAAATTATTAGTGTAAACAAAATCACATAAAGTCCAAAGTTTTATTGCAACATAATAAAATTATGGCTAATGATTTATACTGTTATTAAAATAAGTAGGTAGTTGATTATGAAATTACATCTGTAAGTTTAAGATTTATAACGAAAGTCCTTGTGACTATTTTAATATAGCTTTTTCTACATAAAAGCTACATCTGATTAAAATAAATGGAAGTGTGTTTAAAAAAGTTACTTTCTCTGATATAATACAAATTTCTAAACTGGCCTCAGTGCGTTAACTTTTAACTCGTCGAGTACCGGTTTTGTAGATACAATTATAGAACAATAGGTTGCGGTCTCCGGTGACCGCTTGGTGTTTGGCAGTTTAAAGTGTCAATAACGCAAAAAATGGTTCAAAAAAATCTGATATTTATAATAAGTATCAAAATATTGGATATTTATAATCTATTGCTTTTACATAAACCTAAAGACTTTTAAAAAACCTAAATTGTTTTTAATAGGTTATTTTTAAATCCAACTAAAAATTTTCTTCTAGATCAGACAAAATTCATATGTATCACAAAAAGCCATTGGATATGTATCATGATATCCTTTGAGTCCTGCAATGTAGGTCAATTCAAATAATTTATACCAGTTTAGACCAATTGCTTGCAAAAGCAGTATAGTCTTGCACTTAAACTGTCAAACACCAAGTGGTCACCGGTGACTGCAACCTATTGTTCTATAATTGTGTCTATATTGACGGTACTCAACGAGTTAAAGGACAAGTTCCTGATTTCAAGTGATACATTCTTGTATGACAATATTTTTAATGCCCAACTGATGCAAGATGGTCTTACTATTTCTATAAGATAATAAAATTATGCATCACAATCAATTTAAGGACTCTGATAAGGATATCAGGATTATTGTTTTAGATAAAATATTGCAAAATATATTAACATCACTGACAGATTTATTTTCTTTACATACTTTGGTTTTTTCTTTTATCTCAGTTAAATGTATAGTTATAGTTAAGTATAATATAGTTAAGTAAGTTCTGATTATGAACTCAGATACGTGAGGCTCTTTAGTATTATTATGTAAAGTATGATTGATTCAGTATTTATTTTGCATAATAATTTAAAAAATAATCCATTATACATTACGTTATATCATGTGACATTGACATGAGTAAACAACCCTTTAATTCTCTCTCAAGGCTATAGAATATAAATATTGAGTTCTAATATAGATAGTCTATAATACATAACCGACTGTAAGGGCCGAAACATAAACCCATGCGTCACCGCAACGTTAGAATCGGCAGTTTGCGTTGCGGCGTTGCGGCGTCGTGAAAAAGAGCGTTTTATGGTCGTTCGGTAGGGTAACCAGTTCGGCGTGATTTTTTATTTTGGATAGTCGTGCCTCTGCCACGGACCATCGTGAAAAACTTATTGCTCATTTGTTACTAAGAAGACATTGTGCTGCGTTGTGGCGCCGCGCCGCGCCGCTTAAATCGGCAGTGACGCTACTGTCGATTCTACCGGCGCGGCGACGTAACGCCGTTATGTGTTTTGGCCCTATTTGCATAATATTGTCTTCAAATTGATACTGAATCTGTACATAATTACATTTCAGGCATCTTTAGAGGAAATAAACAGTGCATATCGTCGATTTTCACGCATGTTCCATCCTGATAAACACAGTACTGATCCAAACAAGCAGAAATGGGCAGAACAAATATTCAACAAAGTCAAAGAGGCTTACGAAGTGCTTTCCGATTCACATAAGAGAGCAATCTATGATACACTAGGTAAGACTTGTTACTATGTATGTTAATATAACTTGAAGTATTATTTATGGAGAAAATAGGCATTTATTTATGTTTACTTCATTTTCCAGGAAAGCGTGGTTTGGAGGTGGAGGGTTGGGAGGTAATATTTCGCACTCGCACACCTAGAGAAATCAGAGAAGAATATGAAAGGTAAAGTTTTCATGAATGTTTGTTATATGCAATTAGTTTTACTTATACAGTTGTGCCGGTGAATTATTATAAGCTAAGCACCCTGCTTATATTTTAATTTTCAATAAAAATATCATTCATATTATGATGCAGTTGACAGTGTAATAGATTTGTTGATAATTCATTTCGAGTTGGGTAATTTCTTCTTCAGATTAAAGCGTGAGAGAGAGGAACGAAGACTCCAGCAGAGTGCCAACCCTCGTGGAACCATCACATTGTCCGTAAATGCTACGGACTTGTTCATGAAATATTACGATGAGTATGAGATTTTGTGAGTAATGCTTGTTTTTTTTTTGGTTTATTTTATTTTTTTCAGCCCTCGGTTTTCATCAGTTATTTAGTAGTCAATACAGTGCTTTTCTTTATTTTATACTAGCTTTTACCCGCGGCTTCGCTCGTGTCACAAAAGGATAAAAGTAACCTATGTGACATATATCAATACACACAGCGCCATCTATACCAATACTTTTGTTTTCCCCGGGGAATATCATCCGGGATAAAAAGTACCCTATTATTTAATCCGTAATTCTAACTTTACGTCTGCAACAATTCATCGGTTTAGTAGTTACGACGTGAAAGCGGAACAAACAAACTCACTTTCCGATTTATAATATTAGTAAGGATGGAGCATATAGTGACCATTTTGTTTTGTTTTTTACTAAATCAGCTTGACGATACAATATTGTTATACACCTATTTTCAATCATGTGATATAACTGAACATTTATATTGCAGGGAGGATACAACTGTTATACCAAATATTGAGGTGTCCGGAATGACTATACAACAGTCGATTGATGCTCCAGTGACACTAAGAAACACCATGACTCTATCAGGAAACATATCAACACAAAATGGAATCGGTAAATAATATTATCATACATACATACATAACTTCACGCCTGTCTCCGATGGAAATAGGCGTGTTATTGTTAAATTGTGTTACCGTACCGTATAATATTACCTGCCTCATTGGCCGAGTGGTCGCAAGTTCGACTGCTGGGCAAGGGGTCTCGGGTTCGATTCCCGAGTCGGGCAAAGTCTTACTGGGTTTTTCTCAGTGGTAGCACGGAGCCTGGAACTATGCCCGGTATATATAGGCTCACCCCCTGTTACATGGGACTCATAATATATATAGTGAAAAGTGGGTGTTACGTTGTACAGTGGCATTAAGTGCCGTAATGTGCACCTCTGCCTATTCTTTCATGTGGATAATAGGCGTGATGGTATATTATGTTATGTTATTTTATTATTATATTATCAATATGTAACAATAGCTACTCCTGCGCCGTTTCACTCAATGCTCGGCTTCTATTGATGGCAACGTAAAGTTTGATAGCATTCCCCAATATATGCCCTTTCCATCATACAAAGAATTATTGATCTCGAAACAATAGTTCCAGGATCAGTGCGTTCAAACGTAAATTGGAAGAAAAGAATTCTGCCTAAATCTATGTTGACAAAGTTGGATTTAAGAGTTAATTTAATGAATGTTAAGTAGTTTAGAACTTCTACTTTAATGTATGTATGTATCAAATAACAAAAGAAAGAGCTTTAGTAAAGTAATTTTGTTAATATTGCGAGATATCGTTAATTTTTCGAACGAGAGTAATCTCATTAAAAATGGAGATCGAGATTGCATTCCCCAGTCTCAATATTTCTGATAATAATTTAAAAGCTACTTGTTGAAAAGTATAATATTTCTGTTTTTTTTTTTGCAAATACATCTTGATTTATTTTTAGGTACGGGGTCTGTGAATGTTTGTAATCGTAACCTAAGTTCTGAGAAAGGATGGACAGAAGTGGAGTGTGGTATAGGTAATGGACCTCTCCTCGGTTTCAAAATATTCAGAACTCTGTCGCGACTGATGTTCCTGAACTGCGGGACAGTTTTGCAGTTTACACCAAGAGGAATTTCACCAAGTCTTGTATCAAGTAAGTTTATTTTCAAAAGTAATCTTTTATTTATTTATTTATGTTCACACATACAACATAAAGGACAATACATATATAAAATTTAAGTACAAAGCCTATTCCTATTGGAATTTCTTTCTGTGGACCTGGGGCAGGAAAAGTAACTTTAAAAGTAAGTCTTTTGTAACAATTCAATTAAAGAGCATCATGTGTAACTTTGATTTTGCATTGTATATACACAGGGTGACTTGTAACTCGATGTATTTTTCCCGGAAGGTGATGATAATACAACTAATTTCCTACAAAATTAGCCCTGATGTCTCTAGTGACTAGTTTCTGAAATATTCAACATTTTCAGTTTGGTAAAAAAAACCCGATCTAACTACATAACCATCCAACCACTAATATTATAAAGAGGAAAGATTTGTACCTATTTTTGTACGTTTATAATGAATATGCTCAAAAAGTACTGGGCCGATTTAAAAAAATATTTCACCAATAGAATTCTACATTCTTCCAATGTGACATAGGCTTCATTTTATTTTGAAAACTGGTTTAATTTAAAGAACAAAAATTACACCAAGCCTATAAACTATTAGAAAAACTTCCTTGGTTATATAAGCTACCCAAAAAACATTAAATTATTAATATAATTGTCAAAAATAAATTAATAACTTAATGATTAGTAGAGTGTAAAGGAAAACAGGCAATTTCAAAAACATCATTATTTACAAAATTTTCTTCAAAGTGACCTTCCCTATGAATCTATGATGAATAAATAGGCGTGGAATTGGGAGGGGGCTTCAATTCCATGACCCGCACCGTGTCCAGACCTAACGCAGGTTGATTTATTTTTACATTTGGGGCCACATAGTCTTTTGTTTATGCAACGCTAATTCCGTCTATGCAAATCCTTGAAGCGGCTGAAGAAATAAGACGCTCATTCAGTTCAAGAGTAACCGTTATAGAGATAAGACAGCGTTTGCGGACGTGTATCATTATATCCATGTTATTTTAACATGTATTTATTATTAATTTCAGCCATGGCTGTGCAACTAGATGCTCACTCGGTTGGTTACTTGACGTATCGCGCTGGGGGACAAGGTGGCTCTTCTATGACTTCCATTTATGTTCGAGACTCGGAGAAATACCATACAAACACTGCGCTACAGATCGGCACTCCTCACTCTTTTATATCATTCAACATCATGAGAAAACTGCCTCAGCATGACATGAAACTCAGGCTGGCCTTGAAGTAAGTGATGTATCTATATTCTAAATACGTTACATTACATTAAATACCCGCGCCACTGTTCCCACAGTTGCGACTATGTATGTCTCCACAAGAAAGAGGTATGCCATAATCTCCATACTAAGCAAGAAGGTTGAAGATCATAGTTTAAAATATTAGGTTTATCAAAGCTACTGCTTGATGTCTGTTAAATATGTAGTAGTCCCCTAGTCGACTGTTCCGACACCCACGGGAAGAGTAAGGGCCTTATCATAGTAGCGGTTCGAAAGCTGCTGCAGGGCGGAGTGGACGCGCAGTGAATGCATCGCGAACACGTCTCGGACACGCAAATATGTTACATTTTCATCGTGTTTGTAGGAAATTATCGTTCTACAATCATTTTGCTATTCGCGATTGTGACGAATTCGCTGCGCATGAGCATCATGTCCATTGTGTGTCCGTAACAAAGTCGTTGCGCGCCTGCTCTGCTTTAAAGACGGTTAACAATCCGCCAATATGATAAGGCCCTAAAGGTGGTGGCAATTGTATACTACACTCCCATCACAAGACTCGTATATTAATTGACACTGCTTTGCTGGCCCATGTACATATTAAGGTACTGTTGGTAAATAAAGTAAAACCTACAAATACCTGTAAAACTAACTTTTTATTTGCGAATGTTTAAATACTATTACATATTATTATTGCTTTTAAATGTTATTGACATGTTTCTTTCATTTGAGCGATTTATTTTGCTAATGCAATGTGATGCTGTTATTTGTCCACCAATCTTATGCTCATTTGCTTTTTAATCAGCAATGCTTCATTATGCTTGCGAAAAAGCTCATTCATTTTTTTGTCTAATAAATCGTGGTCGTTATATTAGATATAATTTCATTTCAGTATTAATCAAAAACGTATGGTAATAACCTTTGCCTTGAGAAGTCGTTCGACATTTTCTACATAAGCAAATTTGTCGTTTGGCAAATGAAGTAAAAACCACGCATTTCTCATTGCTAGCTAGCATCCGCATGGCGATAAAAAACGTGTGGGTATCCCAAATGAGGATATAAAATGTCGTGAAATTTTTGTAGATCCATTTTGAAAATAATTCTAAGTTTATTAAATCTGAGGTAATCGAAATCACAAACCTTAAGATTTTCCCAACCTTGTAGATTGAAGAAATGTTACATACGGATACTCCTTTTTTTTTAAATGGGTACGCAGCGCGACATTATAAATGCGAGAGCTACTTCGGCCAGTTCTGTCATTGTGAACTTACTTGTCAGTAAAGACTGTCATAATGAATCTGTTGATTATACAGACATATGAAACATTGATATGACTAGCTAAGGAGTTTTCTATTAGTAATAATATTTTTTAATCAATGTTTAGAACTGTTATTATTAATATTGCTATAGCGAATGTTACTTAATAAATTGTGTGTTACGCTAGGCCAAAAATAGATCTATGCTGGAAAAATTAGCTTGTTGTCAAACTGATATTATTATAATTTTAATAAACTAAAGCCATTTTTTTTCAACAACTACTGCTATGCAATAAGTGGCTGCTCAGTTGGAAGGTTATGCTGAATGAGTTACTTGTTATTTTCAGGTTGGGCACGTTTGGCGCAATAGCTGAATATGGTGCTGAGAAAAAAGTTTCTCAGAACAGCAGCGTGTCAGCGGCCGTCATGCTAGGAGTTCCAAGCGGAGTTATGCTTAAATTAAAGTGAGTATTGTCAATAGTCTTATTTTATAAATATTCAACGACTTTTAGCTAACTGTCGCATTTGCGTTAGTACCTACCATATTCTTGGTGTAGAAGATTTACCGTAGCGGGTTTTCATGTACAGAACTACAGGTGGTAATAGTTATAGCGTGATTTATACATGAACTACATAGGTGCAAGCGCAGCCATGATACCGTTTCAAATGTTTTCAACATTATCTAAATGTACAAAGGTAGCGCGTCGTGTATTATTCTCTAATGGCGAGGCGCAGGCGTTTATCGCCTCTACCGCGTCGCAAGTCACGACTGGAGTACCGTGGAGTAGCGCGAAAGGACACGTGTATTATACAGGGACTTGTAACTCGACGTATTCCTCTGGGGCAGTAATAATACAACTAATTTCCTACAAAAATAGCCCATAAGGTCCCTAGTCCGAAAGTGGCTAGATTCTGAGATATTAAACATTTTCGGTTTTGGTGAAAAAATCTCGATCTAACTACAAAAACATCAATGAATAAAAAGTACTGGTTTGATTTTAGTGATTATAGTTGTTATTTGTTGTCAATACATCAATGCCCATTTATTAATACTAATACTCTCAGAAATATCATTCATTTTAAAATAGCAAGTAAATAAGTATCAAATTGTGTTCTGAACCACTAATTTGGTCAATAGAAAACTGGATCTATTTAAAAAAATGGCATTACCTAAGCATACGAACTATTAAAAAAATCTCCTTGGTTTGTTGGCTACCCAAAAACATAAATTATTTATAAAATTCTCAATAATAATAACTTGATAGTAAGTAGAGTGTAAAGGAAAACGGGTATTTACAAAAACATAATTATTTACTCAATTTTATTCAAAGTGACCTTCCCTATGATGAATTCACACGCTTCCTTATATGGGACGGTCACTGAAGACGCTCATTCAATTGAAGAATTGAATGAGCGTCTTATTTCTTCAGCCGCTTCAATTATAAATTATATAATATCCAAGATTTCTTAGGCGAATTATAGACGGATGACAGCAATTCGACCATGATTATGTTACAAACAATCACAATATTGAAAATTAGTCTCAATTTGATTTAGAAACAAGAAGGCGATGGTTGGCCAGCGCATTATCGAATTACTGAACGGCAGTGGCTGGATAACTCATGTCTCAGGCGTTGAATTGGCAAAGGCGTCCATTTCCATGGTCCGCATCGAGTCCAGACCTAACGTAGGTTGATTTTTACGTGCCAATTCCGTCTCTCGAAATCCTTCGCAAAATTATTCGCAATATTTCTTCATCATCAGGCCCCTAATGACAAGCACATCCCATTTAAGTGTAATGTTCTCATCAAAACAAATTTATAAAGCCCAAACACCAGGTAGCTACTGTCAGCCGTTGAGGAGTTCCCTTAGCTATCATACTCCTTCATCATCAGGCCCATCACAATAATCACACCTCATTTAGGTGTAAAGTTCCCATCACTTGAAATTAATCAAGCCCAAACACCAGGTAGCTACTGTCAGCCGTTGATGAGTTCCCCTAGCTATAATAATCCTTCATCATCAGGCCCCTATTGACAGTCATACCCCATTTAGGTGTAAAGTTTTCATCACTACAAATTAATCAAGTCCAAACACCAGTTAGCTACGGTTAAACGTTGAGGAGTTCCCTTAGCGATAGCTAAGGAACTGCTGATGAAGTAGTATGATAATACTACTTCATCATCAGTCCCCTAACAATAATCATACCCCATTTAGGTGTAAAGTTCCCATCACTTGAAATTAATCAAGCCGAAACACCAGGTAGCTACTGTCAACCGTTGATGAGTTCCCCTAGCTATAATAATCCTTCATCATCAGGCGCCTAATGACAAGCACATCCCATTTAAGTGTAAAGTTCTCATCAAAACAAATTTATAAAGCCCAAACACCAGGTAGCTACTGTCAACCGTTGATGAGTTCCCCTAGCTATAATAATCCTTCATCATCAGGCGCCTAATGACAAGCACATCCCATTTAAGTGTAAAGTTCTCATCAAAACAAATTTATAAAGCCCAAACACCAGGTAGCTACTGTCAACCGTTGATGAGTTCCCCTAGCTATAATAATCCTTCATCATCAGGCCCCTATTGACAGTCATACCCCATTTAGGTGTAAAGTTCTCATCACTACAAATTAATCAAGCCCAAACACCAGGTAGCTATGGTTAAACGTTGAGGAGTTCCCTTAGCTATCATACTACTTCATCATCAGTCCCCTAATGGCAATTACATCCAATCAAGATATAAAGATCTTCTCACTACAAATAATTAAGCCCAAACACGGGGTCATTGCTACAAATTCTCGAGGAGTTCCCTCAGCTGTCTCTTGACTCCATCATCAGATTCAAATTGTATTCAATTCAAATTGTAGTAGTTTCAAAAACCATATCAAAAAGTTAACAAACGCTCTCGCCACCCATACAATTTTGAAAAGTTCCCCTCGGTGTCCATGGGATCCCATGATCAGATCCTGACCTGGTGAAGATGGGACCACCCCGAAAGTATAACCTTTCCAACAAAAAAAGAATCATCAAAATCCATCTACAAATAATTGTGTAACATACACACAAAAAAACATACAGACGAATTAAGAACCTCCTCCTTTTTTGGGAAGTCGGTTAAAAATGGTCTGCAAGAACATGACTGACTAAACTATTTCATTTCTAGATGGACGTGTTCGTCACAAACTATTGTAGTACCAATCCACCTATGTGAGGAGGTGATGCCATCGCCTGTGTTCTACGCGACTGTGGTTCCTCTGGTGTCATGGTTGGTTCTAAAAAAGATCATCCTCGATCCCATTGCTAGAGAACGACAGGAGCGTGAGAGGCAGCGGTCTATGGAGGCTAATTACGAAAGGTAATTCTAAATTTTTTTATTTCGTCACTCTCATTTCAACTTAACTCTTCTCAGGTTTGAATCCTGGGTAAGCCAATTTTTGTTATTGGTTTAGTAGAAGCATTGAGTATTGAATTGTGCATTATATATGTGCACTAGCTTCTGCCTTTCTTTTTTTCTGACGGCAGTCGATGATTTATGAAAAATGTTATAAAAAATGACATTACAAACGAAATCGTCTATGGGCTCATATATGGAAATCTCAGTCTGGACTGAGTTATGAGCGTTGAAAGGAGCTGGAGTCAAACATTTTTTTTTTTATTCAAATTATTAATATTTTTGTCAGAATTCCTAACTACAAATTGCGCGCCACTATACGCCGGGCACAGGAACACCATATTGCACCACAATATATCCATGTTGCCAGGCACTAATTTTTATTAACTATCTTCTCTCAGTCGATAACTTGTGGGATGCTTCTAGGAATTGTGTCATGAAGCTTCATGAGCGTCAGCTGTGGTACCAGTGGTGGGTTGAGTAGTGGTAGCCGTCTAAACATCTGATAAAGTATTATTTTTTTGACATTGAGACCTGGTGGGAGGCTCTTCTACTTTATAGTTAGTTAGTATAACCAACAAATTTGGTCATTGTCATTTGTATGGAGCGTGGTGCCTTTTCATTTTTTCGCGGCAGTTGATCGGATGTGGAAAAACTGACGCAGAATAACATTATAAACAAAAAAAAAAATTATGGGGGTCTCATATCAAAAACACAGTCCAAACCGAGTTAAGTCAGTTCAAAGACTTGAAAATAGTGCTTCATTATTCCTGTTATTTTGTTGCTGGTGACCGTACACAACGTATATTTCTTCAGTTACTTGTCAGAAATACTCTGTAATAAATGTTTATAAACGATTTCAAGGAATATAATTAAGATTATTGTGGAGTTTTTTTCTATTTTATTTCTATTATTATTATTACTTTTTTATTATAAGGCTACGGAATCAGAATAGAGTGAACCATTAACTGGCCACTGCTCAAGTAAAAAAAAACATTTCGCTTGATTGGCTAGCGTGTTCACTTTATATGTATTGGTTTATGGCCTATGACAGATTTTCATGATCAATTTCCTCTCAGTCGAAAACCCGCAAAATACTTTACTGAGCCCTATCAGGAAATGCTATGTTCGTGAGCTGCGTCGTCGGTAGCGGATTGAGTAGCGGCAGTCGTCAAAATACAAATAAATCATTTTTCTGTCTACTTCTCCCGACTTACTCCCGATTAGTAACTAATCTACAGTTAATACTCTAATCTACAGCTAGCATAAGATTCTGTACAAAGATATCGTCATTTAAGTAATGTAAAGTGATGAATTATATTTCGAGTGATCATATTATATGAAAAATGTATACGCTCATTTAACGTATAGCCCATTACTTTACAAATTCGACGGTATACTTTCTTCAAAAGATTATGCTACTATAAAGTAGAAGAGCCTCCCACCAAGTGTTTAGACGGCTACCACTACTCAACCCACCACTGGTACCACAGCTGACGCTCATGAAGCTTCATGACACAACTCCTAGAAGCATCCCACAAGCTATCGACTGAGAGAAAATAGTTAATAAAATTTAGTGCCTGGCAACATGGATATATTGTAGTGTAATATGGTGTTCCTGTGCCCGGCGTATAGTGGCGCGCAATTTGAAGTTAGGGATTCTGACAAAAATATGAATAATTTGAATAAAAAATACGCTTCATATTATATGTTAACTTTAATGTGTATAGAAGTGCTAGCAATATATCTGTTTCATGTGTACTTCTAACAGGTTACAGGAAATGCAGCGGCAGGCCAGAGCCACTGTAGAACTGATGAGAGAGACGTACTCAAGAATCAGGTCTGACGAGGAGAAAAAGAAGGGCCTGGTCATTCTCCGAGCTATATATGGAAAGTTACCTTCAGGTTAGTTCACTTTTGCATCGCTACTTCATCCCAAACTGAGATCGCAAATACGAACATATGTCTTATGAAGTTGTTCCATATGCAACAACTTGGTTCGTCACGTCACACGTCTGCACTTAACAAACATCGAACTCTCTGTTCATCAAACACAATCACCGATCATGATCTGTGGCGATCCTATTTGTTTGTTCCGTATGTATTTGGTCCGAATTGTTGCTTTACGATAAATATAAAACTTAACGATTCGAACTACCTATACAGGGTGACTTGTATTTCGGTGTAGCCTCTACCTCTTGAGAGGTGGTAATACAACAAATTCCCTATAAAATTACGTCTCTCGTTTGAAAGCAGCCAGTTTCGGAGATATTTAATATTTTTGGTTTTGGTAAAAAGAAAATCCCGTACTGACTACAAAAACATCAATAAATAAGAAACTACTAGTTTGATTTAAGTTGTTTAAGTTTTAATCAGTTCTTAATGCAGCAATAAACATTTATTAATACTAATAGGCTTGTGTAGTTCGCGAACGAACTAGTTCAAAAGAGCGCTCCCACATTCAAAATATGCGAACTAGTTCACGTCATTCCCAACTCCTTAGTTCCTTAGTTCGTATTTCAAAGTACAGTACAAGGATTGTGAAGTTGTTTATATGTAGAGGTATAGTCTATGGTGAAGACCGAACTAAAAAATGCGATAACATATGATCTCACTTGAAAAGTCATTAGCTGAGTCGGGAGCTGACGAACTAGGGAGCGATTTGGCTGCCAGTGCGTTCCTAGTTCCTATACGATTCATTCCAATTCCAACTCCAACTGCGAGTCGGGAGCTGACGAACTAAAAGAGCGAACTAGTTCGTTTAGGAGCGGCGAACTGATCTGAGTGATCTTAGTCGCGAACTATTAAGCACAAGACTAAATACTAATAATGTTAGATATATAATTCGTATCAAAATAGCATGTAAATTCTTATATTTTTTTTATTTACTAATTTGCTCAATAAAAAATTGGATGTATTTAAAAAAAAAATATATATATATATGATACTAAACGTAAAAACTATTAGAAAACTTCCTTGGCTTATTAGCTACCGAAAAACTTTAAATTATTTATAAAATTCTCAAACATGCATTAATAACTTGATGATAAGTGTAAAGAAGAGTAATTACAAATACATAATTTTCAAAATTTCCAAAGTGACCTCCCCTACGATAAATACATGCCCGCGCACCTTTCATTATCTCTATGAACTTTTGTTATCACTTTTGAACTGAATGTTCGTCTTTTTTCTTCAGCCACTTCAATAATTTTTCCGCGAAGGATTTCAACAAACGAAATCAGCGTTGCATAAACAACGGACTTCATATGCCCCCATACGTAAAAGGCAACCAATATTAGGTCTAGATACCGTGCTGGCTATAAGATTGGATCCTCCTGTCAACGTCCAACGCTTTGGAAACGAGGTATCCAGTCATTACGGCATTCGATAGTACACTGAACAAACATCGTCTTGGAATAAAACGTTTGGATGGGCGTGACGAATAATCATTTAATTGGACCCCACTTTTTACCCAACGATTTGAATTGGTAGAATTATGACGAAATTTTATTTAATAATCTAGGGTAATTGCTTGGGCATGTAGATTTAGAAACTAAAAGTCGAATGACATTCTAATACGATGGTTGTCCAGAGCATTTTCAAATTACTGTTCATTTCCACGGCATGGCAAGGGAGTTCATTTCCACGGCCTGTACAATGTAGACCTAACACAAGTTGATTTTTACGGGTAGGGCCACATGAAGTCCCTAGTTTATGCCCTTGCAGCAGTTGGTATTGATATTCTAATACTCACTGTTAAAATCCTTTGCGGAAAAATTATTGACGCGCCTGAAGAAATAAGACGCACATTTAGTTTAAGTGTGACCGACACAGAGTTCACGAAACGTGAGCATGTATTCATCATATAATATCTCTGGGGAGACATTCCCCAGGTTAGGATGTGTCGGTATTTTATAGAAACTGTAGCACCTCATTTAGCTTTCATCTTCAATAAAGGTATAGGTCAAGGAATTTTCCCGGATTTAATGAAACATAGTAAAGTAGTTCCATTGTTTAAATCCAGTGATAGTGCAGAACCCAATAACTATAGGCCGGTCTCTATTTTACCAGTGTTCAGCAAAGTTTTTGAAAGACTGATGCTTACTCAGATGCTACGTCACTTTAACATGAATGCTATTTTCCATGATCAACAATACGAGTTCACCAAAGGTCGCACTACGGACGCGGGAGTAGCGCTAGTTAAGCGGATTTTCGCTTCGTGGAAAGAGAAACATGATGCCATTGGCATATTTTGTGATCTATCGAAGGCATTTGACTGTGTTGAGCATGACACATTATTGTTGAAACTGGAACACTATGGCAATCGAGGAGTATCGCTAAATCTATTAAAATCATACCTTCAGAATAGGCAACTCAAGTATAAATAAACAAAATAAACTCACAGGGTGCTAGCATATCCATGGGTGTACCGCAGGGCTCGATACTGGGTCCATTCTTATTTTTAACATACATAAATGACTAGCCCCATTTATTTAAAAATGAACCACATATGGTTTTATTTGCTGATGACACTTCATTGGTTTTAGACTGACAAATAATTATGACGACGTAAATAATGCCTTAATGAAGGTCCCAAATTGGTTTACATTAAATAACTTAGTACTAAACGATAAAAAGACAAAATGTATGATTTGTTTTGCCAAATATTAAAAGCAGCGAATGTGACATATTATTGAATATAGGTCAACATAGGTCGTCGCGAATCTCTCAGAGAGATGTTTAGGGAGATCAACATTATGACCGTTCCATGTCAATTTATCTATGAAAACATCATGTATGTTAGGAAAAACCTACAGTTATTTGGTAAAGTGTCGGACAGACACCACTATCAAACTAGACATAAGGATCGATTCAGTCAACCAATTTTGAGATTGGCGAAAGTAAGTAAGTCGTTTATGAGATTCTGTGTTAAATGTTATAACAAGATACCAAGCGATATACAACACCTATATGAAACGAAGTTTAAATTATGTATTAAAATACTTTATGTAGACAAGCATATTACAAACTTAATGATTATATAGAGGATAAAAATGCTTGGATGCATGCTGGTCCAGCTCCACGGGATAGCGAAAAACACTGATGTTTCAATGAAATCCAACCTAGTTGCTAAAATGTATATTGTTTAACTTGCATAATCATTGTTAATGTGAGAGCCCTGTAATTAACTGAATATTAAATTGGACTAGTAGAACGCATTTATGTCAGCTTGGAGTTGTCATGTTCACTCAAAGATCTCATTGGCGGTGGCACGTGCATCGGATCGCTAGATTCCCTGCAATATGGTTGAGTTGGGCTGTGCTGGTGTACGTGTCATGTTCGTGAACGAGCGGCGTCAACTGGGACTGGTCGGCTCCAGACTGCATTATTTATTGTCTTTAACTCGTCGAGTACCGGTTTTGTCGAGTACCGGTGACCGCTTGGTGTTTGACAGTTTAAGGTTATTTTCTTTTTCGATCCCTTTGACTGGATTTGGGTGTTAAATTGTTCTCGCACAATCGAACCAATAAAACTGTGTAACTGGAGAATTGTATTGTGAACCTGATTGGAAAAGAGTAACCTATGGAGTTTCTTGCTCGTTCTTCTCCATAGGAATCTACACCGTGGAATCAGCAAATAGCTTCACTTTTAAATTTCTATTGCTGAAATTCAAAAATACCTTCCTGGTCTAATTGAAATAAATTATTTTGACTTCATAAGGGAAAACGGGCAACTTTTTTGACATCATTAGTTACTAAAATTTGTTCATTAAGTGACCTTCCCTAATGAGAATTTGTAAATAATGATGTTTTTGAAATCGCCCTTTCTTCTTTACACTTTTCTTATCATCAAGGTATTAATTCCATTTTTTGATTTTTTTTGTATAATTTGGAGGTTTTCCGTAGTCAATAAACCAAGATTTTTTTCTAATAGTTGGTACGCTTTGTGTATTATATATTTTTTGAAATAAATCCAGTTTTTTTTGACCAAATTAGTGAATCAAAACTAAATTTGATAAGAATTTATATGCTGTTTTGAAACGAACAATATTGCTACCCGTTATTGATGTTTTTGTATTCAATTCGGAAATTATTTACCAAAACGAAAAATGTTGTAAATCTCCAACCAGCTACTTTCGGACCAAGGACCTCAGGGCTAATTTTGTAGTAAATTAGTTGTATTATCACCTCCCAAGAGGAATACGCGAGTTACAAGTCACCCTGAATGTAATGTTCGTGATCGGGTGGAAGTTTATAAAAGAAAAGAAAAAAGTCAGCAGACGTTATAGTTCGCAATTTTGTAATGTTATAAAACATTATAACTCTCCTGAGTCTCTTGTGACATATTACTGAACTAATATGGCTACTCGATTCTCGCCTCGTTTGTTTTGCAATGCTTCTCATGATTATGGACCCCTGCCATGCCTTGAAACTAGTCGATTTATCTCATCGAACAGTTAAGTATATCGCGAAATATAATAGCTATAAAATATTTTTGTTAACAGGTGCTTCTGGTCACGAAGTAGGAGCAGAGCCGACGGGTGACGGTGTGTCGCCGGAGAGCCCCACCATGCTAGGAGAAGTGATAGACGTCACAATACCGATACAATGTCTCGTTAAAGACTCTCGGTTAGAACTGCTCGAAGCAAGCAAGGTAATAACTACTTTATGTATATTTATAAATGAATATTAATTACCGAAATGAATGTAGGCGGTTTACTCTCGGACTAAAGATATGAACCCGACCTATTGGGAAAGAAATAGAAATTCGACACGATCACCGGAAATATCATGAAATACCGTCCGGTTAAACCTGGGGCGGACCTCTAGAATACAATAATCCTGGTAAAATAACGTACAAAAACATAATACTGATATATATATATTTCGACTTCTCTGACATTACTTCAGTCAGTACTCCGTTAATAACACGGTGGATTTTTCCTACGTTAAGTCTCGTTGGTAGGCGGGTCGCCTAACAATAGAACACGTTTTCCGTAACAACTAGCTTAATAATAAAGCGTAGTTATTAGTAAAATTACTCTGGACAAAACATTGTGGAGTTCTCATCATCTTATGTGACCTTTTATTAGTGCAACAATGTTCCTAATACAATGGTTGACAGAGTACAATTTTCAGAATATATCCGCTCGTTTCTTTCACGTGATTCTGTGGTACCTAACACAAAGGCTTTAAAGACGATTACGTGTGAGTTTATTTAACCTTAATTTACCTTGCCTTAAAAACACTAAAATACCTTAAAAACACCGTTAAAGTATTTCACTGGTAACATGCTGATTTGCACTCTATGCCTAGTTACAGGTTGCCCTTACTAATCTCAAAAATTATATTACTACACCATCTAGTTCAGTTATTTGGTATTTCTACCTTAAAACTTTTCTGGACTAAGAAAAAATTAAACTGGTTTATACCAGATACACAACATGTATTGATCCATATGATTCATGGAAAACATTTCAATGTACGCGCGATTAAACAGTGCAGTGTATAATTTATCAATCAAATACTTGACCTTGGAGTGTAACTGAGATATTTGTTCCATCGGATTAAATGAAAACGCCAACAGTTGTTGTTAATTTTTCTATACAAGAAAAACGTGACTGTATTATTTTTTTGCGTTTCATAGAACGATGTATGTATTTTGAATGTTGTATTAAAAATTTGGAACTTTTTCTAGTGCATAATTTGATTATTTGCCATAATCGAGCAGAGTATTTCTTAAGAAAATGGAAGTGCCAAATTCAATAATTATTATACCTCAGGGCTACTTTTGTAAGAAATTAGTTGTATTATCACCTCCCGAGAGGAACATGACGAGTCACAAGTCACCCTGTACTTCATTTTATTCTTTTAAATTATGTCATACATTTCACTACCGCAATTTGTCATCATCATAATAGTATGAATTTTGGAGGCTGAGTCACCCTCGTCTGTAGGAGAGCACCCTTAAATCAAAATCCCTACACGTGGCCTTTGGGTGGTGCTAACCAGGTGACACTTTGGTGGTAGGCTTCGGCCGCCGGCTTTATGACCACCCACCGAACTAAAGAGTGTCGCCGAGCGGCCCAGCCGTTTTCCGCCACGATGCTCAGTGACGCCGTATGAGAGGATGGGTCGAGATGGTTGTTCCACTGTAGACTGGCCGGTCTGACGCGCGCTGGTGTAGCTACACCGGGTGTCCAGTCGCGGAGGGTAGCGGGATCCGAGGCACGGTGCACCGCTGGCCGACCGTAGATAGTTGGAGGCCCAACTAGCGTGCTAGTCACACGTGAAAGGCTGCCCCGGCATCTAGCGAAAAATCCCATGGATACGCTATCGTGCTGGTTGGCGACCGGAGGAGAGGGCCCGATAGATATTCGTGGGGGGGCTCGGACGTCCCCGCATTCTCCAGATTGGCCTCCCAATGGTGTGGCTAACTGCGGTGCGCGTCGAGGGGCCGCCTGCGTAGGGGACCATTTCACTGCAATCCTCTCAGCAACCTTCCACTCTACATCAATGACACCGAGAAATAAGAAAGGGGTTCAACAGCGGCTGCACTCCCTCTCCTTCAAAATGCACCTCTCAAATATTCGAGAGGTTTGCACTCTAATCTCAATACGGTCCATCACCACCTCGAGACCGAGAACCCTATACTCTTGTTTCTCTCAGAGACCCAGATCAGGTGCCCGTCGGACGTATCCTACCTGAACTATCCTGGTTTATCGCTGGAACACAATTGTTCCGCATGCAGGTGTATGCGTATACGTCCGAGGCGGCATCTATTACCGGCGTCTCCGAAACCTTGAGGACCCTAGTGCCCTATGGATACTGGTAGACATAGGCATGGAGAAAATTGTATATGCCTGTGTCTATCGGTCGCACAGCGGGGATTTGGTGGCGACCAGATTAGCGCAATACCTCGGTGAAGCAGCGGATGCGGCTCAACAGGCCTGTTGAGCCTTCGGCCCAGTTAGTGTTACTGGGGAACTTTAACGCCCATCATCAGGAGTGGTTATTTCTATACCAGTGCACCGACCATGCTGGAAGGGAAATGCGTAAGCTTGCGCTTTCGCTTGGCATGAACCAGCTGGTCCAGGAAGCCACAAGGGTGCCCGATGTCGATACGCACACTGCCAATTGCTTAGACCTTCTACTGACAACCGATCCCGACCGCTACTCGGTGACAGTCTCATCACCTCTAGGTAGCTCTGACCACGGTCTGGTGAAATCTGTATCCACACACTCTCCACCAGATCCGAGTCCCAGAGGATGTGGCGATACAAGTCGGCGGATTGGGATGGGATGCGATTCTTGGCGTCCCGTCTGCTTCTCATCTGATGACCCGTCAGCTTGTGCGGAAGCCGACAGCTTGTGCGGATAACGGGGGTGCTGCGCCAGGGCATGGAATACTACATTCCATTCTCGGACGTGGCATCCTTTGGTGGGACCCATCCTTGATTTGGCGACTGCGGACGTGCCGAAGCGCAAAAGCAGGCGGCATACTTGGCATGGGCGGATGCCAGGCGCCGTAAGGCTGGTGACATTCATCAAAAGAAGAGAGCCTTTAATCGGGTTGCCAAGTCATGCAAAAAGGCATTACGGATGCCTCGATTTAACCACATTGGCCTTATAAGGAACAAACTAGCTTCCTACCCAGCGGAAAGTAAAGCTTTTTGGTCCCTGGCAAAGGCAGTTGAATCGAACTTCTGTCGCTCCTCACTTCCTCCGCTCCTGAGGTCTGACGGGACGCTGGCTCACACTGCGGTCGAGGAAGCGAATCTATTTGCGGAGTCTTCGCGTCTTGACACTGGTGGCGCCTTGCCTCTTTTTAATAGCGCATGCAAGACGAATATGTCGCAAATTCGCATTCGACAGAGGGAGGTATATAGGACGCGATCTGGACGTGAACAAGGCCAGTGGTCCCGACGGAATCCCAGCCCTGGTTTTAAAAACCTGTGCGCCTGAGACGGGTCTAGTATCGGTTGCATGGAAGCTGGCCAACGTACAGCCTGTGCCTAAAAACGGTTTCGGTCACGTCCATACTCTGCAAGAGCATGAAGAGAACGTGCACTTAACAATAGATTCCTGGCATGCCTTGAAGGTAACGATCTCCTCAGCGATCGGCAATACGGGTTTCGACGTAACCGATCGACTGGGGACCTTCTTGCGTATGCCACTCACATATGGAGCGAGGCCATAGAGGGGCACGGGGAGGCCTTAGCAGTCTCCCTCGACATTTCGAAGGCCTGACCGGGTATGGCACGACAGTCTAATCGGCAAGCTTTCTGCATATGGACTTCCTACTGATCTGTGTAGATGGATAGCAGACTTCCTGAGGGATCGATCAATACGAGTAGTCATCGATGGCTGTTCGTCTGACCAATTCGGTATTAATGCCGACGTCCCTCACGGGTCAGTACTTTCAGCGACGCTCTTTTTGCTGCACATAAACGACCTGCTTAAACCCGGTATCTTTGGGTATGCAGATGACAGCACAGTTGAAAGGTATGTGTCCGATGCGCGGACTAGCGGAACACAAATCCGTTCTTTAAAAGAATCCATGGTCGAACGTTTGAACTCGACCTTGAAGGCGGTCCGACTGGGGTGACGCCAACTTGGTTAGTTTCAATGCTAGCAAAACCCAGTCGTGTCTATTCTCCGCCAAACGGAGTCAATTTCCGCTGACTCCTATTTTCTGGAATGTATCCGTACCGATAACCGATCATCTTGAACTTCTTGGCGTAACTCTGACCCCCACTCTCAACTTTGGCTCCTATATAGAGTCAAAAGCGCAACTGGCTGGTATGGAGGGTGAGACGATACTTCACGCCGAAACAATTTCTGAGCCTGCACCAAGCACAGGTTCGGTCCTGTATGGAGTACCGCTCTCATCTTTGGGACGGCTCGGCCAAATATCAGCTTGACGCGTTAGAGCACATTGAGAGGCGTGCTAAGAGGCTCATCGACAATGATGCGCTTGTGAAGGCTCGGCTTCAAAGCCTCGAACACAGGCGTAAGGTTGCAAGCCTTTCGGTTTTCTATCGGATACATTTCGGTGAGTGTGCGGGGGAATTGTACAACTTGATTCCCCCTAGTCCTTTCCATCGTCGTACCACAAGACAATCGGCGAAGCGTCATCGATTCATGGAAGATGTTCCGCCCACACGCACGAAGCGCTTCGCTTCAAGCTTCCTTGTGCGTACTGCTAAAGAGTAGAATTCTTTGCCAGAGTCTGTATTTCCTGAAGGGAGTTTTCAAGGCCCGAGTGAATAGGTTGCTTTTGGCACGACGTGCTCCATCGTAGACCGCATCATCGCTTACCACCAGGCGAGATAGTGGTCAAACGTCGCCCCATTAAAATATAAACAAAATAAAAATGATGAAATTGCAAAAACCTAGAAAAAATTAAATATTCTGGGCAACCTTGATGCATCTCCTTAATTAACATACTGTCGAAAACCACTAAGATCTTAAAACACATCGAATCGTTATCCTTAATGTTTATCCAAATTCCAAAGTAGGATGTGTCTTGATTTTCCTCCTTTCAAAAACAACAAAAAATGGCGCCTACGTCGAGTTAAAGTGAAGTAATAAATTGAATAATAAGAAAGACATATAAGTACTTGTAATGGGTGGCTTTATTGTGTTTTATTTTACAATGCCTAAATAATCTTGTGAGACTAGTTACTCCTGCGCAGGTTTGACCCACTGCACACTGTTCGATTTATATTGAGATTAGCGTGATGTTTATAGCCTTCTAAATCTGCTGTCCAACACAAAGATACATTTTCAATCCGAACCAGTAGTTGGAGATTACCGCGTGCAACTAAACAGAGCCAAATTTATTTTTAATGTTGTAAAATCAATCACATGACTCCTCCCGCCCTTAATCTCAGACTAACTTACTAAAAACCACCCCGTTCCAACTTCAGCACTGTGCCGTGACCCGTATCAAATAGTAATATACCTGCGACCCCGGCTGGACAACAACCCTAGTCACGTAGTGGTCCAGTATATGGTGGTCTGCTCTGACAGCTCTTTGAAACGGGTCTGGTTCTGGTCAGGCGACGAGAACTCTTTCTCAAATTTTTTATAGTGACACTCAAAGAGCTCTTAATGAAATCGCCCTTATGGATCGTGTCGATATTAACTTACTATTTTTTTTAGTATTTCACATCTGACTATATTTATAAAGACCTTTTATTTCGATCGATAAAATCGAATCTATTTTCTCGTGATATCCGTATTATCCATTGAACCCACTTCAGCATGGATGTTCCTAAAAATGCTAATATAATAAAGCACTGAAGGTAACCGTTTATATACTGCTTGAAAACTTTAAAGCTTTATATTAAATTATGTCTGTATAGAATTTTAGTTCATAATTCATAATACGATTTTTAAAATCCATAATTCATATTATTTTAAAAATATCCAACCAATAGTCTATAACAAATTAGTATCGCTATGTAAACATAATTATCGTCGGAAGTTATTCGGATAATGATAGCTATTATATAGGTAGGTGGTTTGCCCCCATAATATGCCTGTTTGGTAATAACCCGCATGACTACAACAAATGTATGAAATTACTCCGCTGACTATAAATAGCAGTAATTTTTGAAATAGCTATTTATGGAAAATATAACTGAGAATTAATGAATAAGGTTTCGTTTTGTCAGTGGAACATCTGGAATTAACGTTGATATGGATGTGGATAGTAAATTATGACATTATGGTACTTTGATAATGCTTCTCTACTTGCTTCTAGATTACTTGCTAGTTTTACACACGAGCATGTCGTAAGTAGCTAGATACTGTTGCGCATTGTTATAACCGTACACTCGTAGAAATTCACTGAAGTCAATTATGAGATTATTATTAAATATTTTTATTACTTGTATTACTATTCAATTTTTTCTTGATTATTTTCTGGTTTTGCTGGTTAAACTGTCAAACACCAAGCGGTCACCGGTGACCGCAACCTATTGTTCTATAATTGTGTCTACAAAACCGGTACTCAACGAGTTAATATGATTTTAGCATTTGGTTCGGCTAACTAAAAAAATCTTGGTTATTGAATATTTCGGTTTATTATAAATATTATTATACCATTTAGTGATCGCGTCCAGGTGTGACAAGAATGCTTAACTACGGTACAGGTCAATATACCCATATAAACAGGCTATCAGCTATATAAAATAAAAAACTAGTCTTATGGTGCGCCCACGCATACTCCAATAACACTGAATGTTACACTTCTGATCTATAAAGATGATGTACTTTTTATAGCGGTTCGCCCCAAGGTGTCTCGGGTGCTTATTTTTAATTTTAGACATATGTACAAATCTTGTTGTTTATTTTACATAAAACAAATATCTAAATTGATGCAATAAATTAGAAAATTGATCGGTCATGCGCATGCGTTCATTTCGGTGATTTATTGATATTGTTGTAGAATTAAGGATTTATAAATATAATTAGATATTTTATTATGGTCATGATCATGTTCAGGATCTATCCTATAGTAACTTATAGTAACCATATGTTAGCGTGTCAAATAAAACTAATTTTTCAGATGTAATAAATGTCTTAAGTTAATAGTGTGCTATAAATTCAATGTGTCATTTGTCCCCAGTCTGAGTTGCCCGGATTCTACGACCCGTGCGTTGGCGATGACAAGCACTTGACAATTCAGTACATGTTCCACAACAACCTACACTGTTGTACTGTTTCCGACAGCCAAGCCCTCGTTCTTCCACGTAATAGTAAGTAATGAGATGAAAGACATTTTCTAGTCATTACTCAAATGTAGTAGTAGTAGGTAACTTCCCAGATTTCGTCATAAACTAATATAACAATGTATTACAGATCATCGGATAAAAAATAGATCCTGAAATTTAAAAGCGAAGCGCAGGTACAAAGCTACGGCGCGCTCCCGCCCTCTTCCCTAAAGTTAATGAGTAGACCTCGTGATTAAGTCGACATGAATGTTGCGCTTAAATCCAGAAAATTATCATTACAAGCTTTGAACCTAGGCAGCTAATGACATTCCATTACTTTACTATGCCAACAGCAGCCCATCGTCAGTAGATAGTAGCCTTATAAAAGCGTTGAATGATAATGCTTTAATAATTGTTTTCTATAAAAAGTGCCTCGAAACTGTAGCAATATATTACATAAAAAGATGCATATTTACACAAACATAGTAACTATATATTTATGTATATTTTAATGCATAATTTTCTGTGCAGAGAATTGATATTTTAATATATGTTAACATACTGTTCTTAGTATAACTTTATCAGCCTATTAAAATGGTAGGAGTCACAGTGTTAGTTAAAAATAGTTATCAATATTTGTTGATTGCATAGTTATTACGTAGGTGTAAAATCTATACGCAACTGTGTAAATAAATCTTAGTTGTAGTTTTACTAAAGTTGTCTGATCTAACTTCAATCGATTTGAGTATCATGCCAGTTGCGGTAGACGTGTTTCACTACCGTTGTTTCAATGTATTTTTGTTACATTACTGGGCACAGGCTCGTGTCACGAAGGGTTATAAAATGTACAAATAATAATCAAGTAAATCTTTAATTTATATTTGAGTAGTCTTCCCGCACTTGTTCGAATATAATTGTAATGAAGTAGTTACCCGAATGCGTTCTAATCTTATAAATAGCGAAGAATAACTTAGGTAGTGCTTTGTGTCTTAGTTATTCAGAGGCATGGGAAAATTGTGTATTTCTTATACGACTTACGTCTATAAGTTCGAAAATACTAAAAATTCTCTTACTCTGCGTAAAACTTTAATTTACTTAGTGCCTTATGAATTTGTCAGTTGAACTCCGACGAAAAGGAATGAGAAAGTATCTACTTTATAGCCATTCTCGAAAATATCTGAATGGGCTTGTGTAGAACCGTCGCTATTGTCCTACATAAGTATGTGGGTATACGTCACGTTCTGTGCTTGCAGGTTTGTGCTATAGCCGGTCATGTCGTGACAAGACAAAAACCGAAGAGTTCATTAACTCGAGAGTTGTAATAATTAATGTGCGAGTGGAAAAAAACTTTGTTGTCGAACACTTCGCAGAATGTTAGTAAAGTGATAAGATCTCGCACGCACATGGGATATAATATTAACCTTGCGCGCGAGCCCTCAGTCGGATACCCAAAGTTTCAAACCAATATTCACATATATATTTTTATAGTAACCTAATAGTACAATATATTTATGCTAAACTGTTAAGATTAAAAAACTTGATCAACACGCGTTCGCTCTGGCAGCAAAAATTCAGTCTATATTTATTCTCTAAAGATATTTCCATCGTCCATAAATTTCTGTCCGCAATAATTAATCCTAAGTATTTTCCATTGATTGTTAGAGCCGATAGATAATTTGTGTATTTTTCTAGTTAGCAAGATTCGCACAAAACTAGCCGATAAATGAATTCTTAATTAAATCTACCTTGAAACAGCGCTTGCACAAAAAGCTTTGATAATTAATTTTCTGGATTTTGGCGTGTTAGTTAGACCTAAAAGTTAATGGTTGAACAGTTAGTTTTTTTGAATTTGTGCTTCATCGGTGTAGTATGAAGAGCAACGATAAATCGCATGTATTAGTCGAATTACCTTCTAGTATTGTTTTCAATTTTTGTAAAATAATAAATGTTGTTTATTCTAATCTTATTTCGAATACTTCCAATAAATTATCGCCTATATTGTATTGAGCGCATGTTTCATCGTTAACTATAAATGTTATCTTATTTTATGACCTTAAGGAATATATGCTGCAAAATAAACATTATAAAGTTGTTAACTAACTGTTGTTTCATTTCTACTATTTTATCCTGATATGTTCCCTGCTTTAGTGGAGTTGCGGTCCATCCGATGAGAAACTAGCCCTTTAAAAATAAGTTTCGTAAGTATTTTTAGTATTAAACATCCATCGACGTCCTTCCCTGTGTATTCAACATGTAGATCATCAAATCATCATCAAACTGAGTTTCAGTTCGATTTTCAAATTAACTTACATAAGTCATGAATTATTTTCCGGGGTTTTCCCCATTGTAACAACTGACTCACTACCTATTAATTAAATAAATGGGTAAACAGTTATTTACTCTACTGATCACAACTGCGACTAGACAACTCCGAAATAATTTAAAAATGTATTAGGTAATAGTTACTTCCACGATTATTCAGTTACAAAATTTTCAATAGCACTAGTGTATGAGAGTAGTCGTCCCCAACTTAATAGATAGAGTATTAATTGATTTTGTTAGTGATAAATACAATAGTAGGTACCCAAGTAAGGTCGGATTTTTCCAACGCCAAATAAATTATAACTGAGTAATAGCTTTGAACATTGTCAATTCTTCCATACCCACTAATAACTGTCAAATATCAAATTTATCCTACAGTTAAGAATTAAGTGGTGATTGAAAAATCGGCCCTTAAGGTGGATGGATGATGATCTCAACTGCCATTTTGTCGCTAGATGGCGTAACATCTACTGGTACCCGTTACCCCATACGTACAGAGCGTGTGTGACAGTTTTCATTTTCAAAACTTAATCCAAACACGCAATATGAGGAAATATAAACTGATTGATAATAATAAAAGAAACGTGTACGTTGCTTAAGAAGGGTGCTAGATTGCGCTACTGGTCACGTTTTGAATAAGTACCACAGTGGTACATAATATATGAACACTCTAGGTTCTCACGTGACAATAGGTCGCATAGCGTGCGGCTCATCGTTGTGGGATATGATATTAATTGGTTACCTTTTATATGAGCTTAAGAATAGAATACGTCAAGGCCATATATATATGAGTACCTACCTAATAAACATCCTGCATGTAAGCAACCATATATACATACTTACTATTGTCAATGCAGGTAGCTATAAGTGCAGCTTTCAATCTTACATTATTGTCGCGTAAAGGCTTTTCTTTTACACTAATATCAAGAAATTTTAATGTCGCCTCTTACTTTAGATCATTATACTTGTAACCTAACCCAATCCTCCGACAATGTCGTCTTCCCACCCCATTTTTAATGGCGCAGTCCATTTTCCGAGGAATTGCATTTTTTATTTCACCTGGATTATGTCCAAATCACTTCATTGCTTTAATAACATGATATCTTCCTAAACTCTATTTGCCAGCTAAAGTGGTGAAAAATATTTGAAAGGATACCATGTACCAGATGGACTGACAACATCATCAGAGTCGCTGGTAGCTGTTGGATGCTAGTAGCAAGTTTAAGTAGAAAGGTTTTTTTATTTTTTATAAGGGGGGAATATCATCGAATGACTGCTCCCGCTTGGGTGAGGCGGGAGGGAGTGTCAGACTGACTAAAAAAGGCCTGTTTATTCTGCAGCGGACGTCTCCTTGTGATAGGTAATTAGCGAATAGCAGTCAATGCTCTGTACACCTGTAGGTAGGTACCTACATTATGTTTAACTAATTGCTATACCTATACTATAGCTATGTAGAAGTTTGCCTATTCTGTCTGATAATTAAAAAGCAAAGTCTAGATACCCTCTGCGCCATTTGCCTTCACCAACAACACTAACTAACGTTAACATTATTCATGAGTAACAGCGAACAATTAGGTGATTATAAAATGTCAATAAGTAGGTACGATGTTTATACGTCCTATTGCTGTATTTCTTGGCAGCGACGTGGAGGATGGAACAGGAAATATCCAAGAAATCAATAAGCAATAATAGACTTTTATAAATACTTTGATGACGCGTTCGCATACAAATTTACTTCCTGGAGATAATTCCATAAATTGGATTCAATTGATTACAAAGGATAAGAGGACATTTTTTCTTAAAATAGGTAAAGGCGTAAAACAATCGGCAATTTTATTTGACGTCAAAGTCATTATAAACCTACTGTGCTATATTATGAGATGTGTACAAGCACTAATCATTTAAAAGCCATAATCTGATCAATTTGGGAATGTTAAAGACACATATTTGGCCTATAATTTGGTCCGATTTGCAGATTCAGACAACATTGAAGTGAGCAGACTTCAGAGTTATCTGGTGGATATTAAAGAAAATACCGGAGCACCAGTGTTATAGTTAACGGTTTAATATTCGGATAGATGGCGTTGCACATGAAGGGGTGTTCAGCGTTCGGTTACCCTACGTGAGGCGAAGGGTTGGAGTGGGGTATACCTATATCAAAATGGAAGGTGCTACAGCCACCCATGAGATGTCACTGTGCCGTGACGTCATTTTCTGAATCGCGGTGTTAAGATTCTCCGTGTTTGAATGACCTACGACGGCACCCAGTCCGACGTTATCGCTTCATCGGCCTTGCGGCTAAGATCAAGCTTATGTATTTGTTCTTTTCAGCTTAATATCTGAAAATTCCTCACTGAGGAACCAGAAAAAAATGAGCTAATTTTTTGAAAATTGACGGGATGTAGGAGCTTGCTCCTCTCCCGTCAAGGGTCGGCCCGGCATTGCAGTGCCGCCGGGATCGGCCCACAGAACTCCTAGAAAATAAATATTCATCTATAGTTACTCCTATCGCTATGTTATGTATTTCCTGCTCATAGAGTCCTATCTAAGATTATCTTAGTGCCCTGTGTATAATGCGTATAATAATATTTTAATTGACATATTTGCTTGGATTCTTTATTACAAAATATGTTGGCCTGTTATGCATTCATTTTTCACGTAACTCACCATCGCAGTGTAAGCTCATAAGTAAAGTCCATGTTTGTTGTGGTGCGTCGAGTTCCGCCGATTGCGCTTTGGAATGTTTTAGGATTGCATATTTAGTAATAGAGATAAAATATTTTTGTGAATGTCCATTCATAATTTGTAGTAATAGTTCAGTAGCATTGCACGGTTGGTGCGGTGGCTGAGCAACCGGCTGCCGCGCAACGTGTCGCGGATTCGATTCCCGCACGGAAAAACTCTTTGTGTGATCCACAAATTGTTGTTCTGGATATGGATGTCATGTGTATGTGAACATGTATGTTTGTAAACGCATCCACGACACAGGAGAAAATCCTAATGTGCGCCAAAGTTTAAAAAAAGAGAAAAAATAAAAGAGTAGCAGAAAAGATATTGAAATTACAAAGTAACAAAAGTTTACAGCACCTTTTCTAACTTTTCTTTTCTGTCTTTTCTAATCTTTTTAATTTTATTTTAACCAGTACTCACATCATATTAGATACCTAATATTACCATCATATTAAAATGCTCATAATAATTTTTGTGAGGATTTCTTCTTTAATTGGCTCACCAATTCCTGGACTTATTTTTATTTATAAGTACATAATTTTAGTAGCCGTACGTCAAGACGTACGGCGGCGTACGGGTCAAGACGTACGTTTATTTATGAACATACATCAAGATGTATGTTCATAAATAAATAAATAAAATAAATTAATTATCTTTCCTGCACAGAACGCGGCGCACAGTAGGTAAGCCTGGGATAGGTTCTGTTCGGGCGCCGAGATCCCCTTCTATCCACGGCCTAGGGTTTCCAATCCCGGAATACCGAGATCTCGCTATTGGGGCTAAAGGATCACATTTTCTATGGACTGAGCAGTCCGTGGTGAAGACTGAATGGCCAACGGTGTCACTTTACCGGTCATTGACGCAAATTTTGCAAGAAGACTCCCTCACCTTCAGTGAACTTCGGGCAATGTATCTGAGGTGGGAGTCCTCGCAACGCCTCTTAATCAGAACAGTGTTTTCGTTTATTTCTGCAGACCAGACCGATTACACTGAACCAGCACGATTCGCTCCAACACCTTGACGTGTTGCAGATCGATGAAGATCCTGTCATTCGCCGTCTGCCGTTCTCACATACAATGAGACAATGACATACCGGGAAGATAAAGCAATCGTCGAGTGAGTTCTGCGCTTTCTTCTGATTCTTAACGATTACGACCGACGACACCTCGGCTGTTAGAGTTTATGTCCATGTCGTTATTGTAGGCGAGAAAGACTCCGTCACTTTTAGCTCCTCCTTGCTGCTGCAGCTCCGAACCAACCTCTGGGTCTTAACTTTTCGGAGTTGTTCCATTAGAAATCCTTTGCGATTATCGCCTGCTGGACTGCACTCACAACGTCTTCGCTGGTTTTCATCGCGTCGCTGGAAATCAGAACGATGAAGTGTTTTGGTCAAATGACCGGAACCGAGCACAGTACCAATCTCACTAGAAAGTTATCACAATCTGGCTATCTTTGAGACGAGGGCCACCAAACTCGCAACCTTTTCGACCTTAAGGAGTCCCTGCTGTTCAAACATCTTCACCAGCTGGTGGAGGCGCTCTGTGACCTGTGTCTAACCTCGATCTCCAGTGTCGTTTACCTACCTACTTCATTTATGTCTTAAGATGTTATTGTTTTTACTTCAATGTGATTTACATAACTATGTACCTACTGAAACAAGTCTTGCTTACATGTGTCGCTGTGTTAAGAAGAATTTGCCATTTAATAAATTAAGGTCGTTAACGTGACATTTGAGGTTTATAATTATGATTTGCGTGATAGTGCTCTAGATGGCATCTCTCATAGTCTATTGAACACGCAATATTACAAGCATGATAATAAAATAGATTTACACCAGATATAGTTGGATCATTACTAGATACAACAGTGTAGAATTAGACTCTTCCAATTGAAAGGCAATGACTCTAGATCGTGGTCGATTTGGAGAGACCTCTTGATTGAAAATACATTTTGTTTTGTAACGGTTTAGAAATCCTCGAGTGTATTCGCCGTGGGTCCAACGAGAGGGTGTACTGTACTCTTACCGACTAAATCCCACATCTTCCTGG